TTAGTTTGCTAGCTGTAAAATAAATCCAGTGTAATTATTCTTAAACCCTGCCTGAATCTATTTTAATTAAAACCTGGCACTTTTCCACTGAAAGCTTTAAGCGGTTTTATCTCGGATAAGGTTTTTAAAATGTAACACTTTACATATGTAATCTCACATAAAAGTAAATCTGTTAAAATTAGAACAATAATTTATCTGGCTTAGCTTTAGGGTTTTCATTTCCACTGATCTATTTTGCATTGTGGTTCCTTGCTTGTAAACAAAATATATCAAGGGAAGCCACCCCAAGTCACAAAGCAGGAGTCATCAGAAAAGAAAGGAGAGAAATTGATTCCACTTTGCTCATCAAAAACTGATGTCGGAAGGGTAATGAGCTGATTAGGGCCGGACTGTATGGAGAACTTTGCAATGTGTCCTGTTTTGGACAAAATACATCTACTATGTGTAAAGGTAGAAGCTTCTTCTATCCAGTAGTTTGGCCCATTGGCTGCCAACACAGCTAGCTACAGAGTCAGATGAGGAGGAGGAGGAGGAGGGGAGCCTGGGCCAGCTTTGGGGCCTTTGGAAGGCTCTGATAAGGAAACTTAGATCTGGGAGAGTGAGCGCAAGAACGGAGACGAGGCATCGAATAGTGACTCCAACTCTTTATTAGTGACTTCAGAACAGAGCGAAATACTCAGGCAGCAGCAGCTCCTTTTATAGAGCTGGCTGCTGTCAAAACATCCAATGATTTGAGTTTGCCGCGCTTGGGGCATCCAATCGCGGCAACCCGTTAACTAGCCAATCGGATTAGTCTAAAACGACCAATCACAATCGGCTATTCACGGACCAATCAAAAGTGCAGGATTACGAGCCTGCCGTGGAAGGAAAGCAATTAGAGTTTCAGGCTTACGAGCCTGCTAGTTCGGAACAGAAACAATATCAGAGACAGAGCTGGGGCCTTCTGTCCTACCCCAGGTGGAGGCAGCTGTCTTCGGGATCTGTAGAGTGAGGGGAAGGAACAGATGGAGCCCATCCCAGATGCACTTATGCACAGAGAAGAAAGGAGAGCAATGGAAAGCAATAAGCTGGCTCTCGGGGAGAGGCAGATGCAGACAATAGCCAGCCCCTCCCTGACTGGGAAATAAATAGGAGAGGGTTGGGAGCAGCCAGTTGTCACAGACAACCATTCATTTCTAGTATATGACAAGCAATTCAGATTTCTTGGCTAAACCCAGGTTTGTTGGGACTAATTACATTTGACTTTGTGTTTATCATGTGAATAAAAGACTGTTACTGCCCGGTTATAAAAAGGAGGTTTGTTTTACTTGCAAATAAATGTCTTATCACTACTTGCAAAGGCTGGATCAGAACTCAGTCAGGTCCAACTCTAAAGGCGGTGCTCATCTACCTTTCTTAGCCGAGGGAACCAGCATTGTCCAAAGACACTTCTGTGGTCCTGTGGCCAGCATGGTTATATATCAAGGTTCACAGAACACTGCTACCTTCCCACCAAAGTGGTACCTATTTATCTATTCACGTGTTCATGCTTTCAAACTGCTAAGTGAGCAAAAGCTGGGACAGGGAACGGGAGCTCCTTTGTGCAGTGCTTGGATCTCGAACCCGGCTCTCAAGGTTTCCAACTGACAAGTTCAGTATCTTTAACCGCTGAGTCATCACTCTCCTTTCCACTATACGTGTAGAAATAATCAAATTCTGCAGAAGGCTGTGTGTGCAGGACTCAGCTGGACTAACTCACCAAACATAAACTACACCCTGGCTGATGCTCCCAATCCTACTTTTTAATGGTCCCATGCTTTTCGTTTCTCAGATGTATTGTTTTCTGCAATTTGTGTACTGCTTTTAACTTTTCAAACATCATGCCTCTATGATGCCTGTTTCTCGTGATTCATTTTATTGCAAGCCTCATTTTAAATTCTACATTAAAAAAAATGGCCCAAAGCCTCTGTTGCAGAGAGAGACAGTTGTTAAGTGAATTTTGCCCCATTGTACAACCTTGTTCTTTCCAGGGACTGTGCTCTCAGCTGAAGCCCAGATTCAATTATGTGAGCTTCTGTTCTCCGATTCCCAGATATTTTTGTGAATACACCATAATTAATCTATCTATCTATCTATCTATCTATCTATCTATCTATCTATCTATCTATCTATCT